TTCACGACTTATCCCGGATTTTATTTTTAAGCCCGTAATTGGCGTAAAGTCCCTCGGACGGGACGTAAACTGGAGGTCCCGTGTTTGAGGAGAGCCACACCTCGCGATCGAGCACGTTAAAGACCCCACCACACCTTTCGAAAAAGAGTAGGGCATGCCCCGGTGTGCGATGGTACAAACAGTACGGTATGGAGTTGGTGATTCACTTCAGATCACCCGGACGGAGGCCTGGCGAACCCCGTCTGTATCAGCCAAAATCTTGGAGAGTCGGGCCAAATTTTCTTTGTTCTCAAAATGCTGTGCAGCCGCGTTTGATGATCTTTTTTTAGAGATATCTGTTAATAAATAACCACAGTACTAGTACTTGGGCTAAGTAGTATTATAAAGGAAGAAGAAGAAGAGAGGATAGCGTTATCTCACCTTTTCCGGGTAGTTAGCTTATCGTCGCAGCACCTCAGCAGACTTGCACCTCAGAAAATAATACAGCCACAACAACACAAGAACAACGTGTTTTTGCCGGCGATGGTGAAGTACCTCAAACTCCACTCCTGGACTCTCCACATACCAGTCACAACTGACCACACACTAGGAATGCCCCCTGAAGACTCATACAAACTCAATCGATATCATTTTAAACGGCACTTCGAGCTGTTCAGCAAGAGTAGCTCATTGTCAGAACTCGTATCGAGGGTTGGGAAGTAGGGCCAAGTATTGTTGGTGGTGTTGCGTTTCTTTCACTCTGCTTTGTAATATGGCAGCTTGAATTGTTTTCTTTTATTCCCACTCTTTGTCGTTCTCTATCCCGACATATCCTATATCTTCTTGACTTATTTCGGAGAGCATTGTTCAATAATCCATCCACCAAAAATGTTAAGTTCTGTATCTGTATCTGTATAGCCGGTATAACCGCCTTTCGGCGTAACACACCAGCTTCGCAGGCACGCGGCGCGGCGGCAGCTGGCTATATTACACCGATCGGCTTGTTACACCTAACCCTTGAACTTCTAGCTCTAGACATTGTTTAAAGCTATCTATTGACAGTGCCCCTACTGTACTTGGTGACAGTGAGTTCCACTCTGCGATAGTTCTAGGAAAGAATGAATTCTTGAACACCTCAATCCTTGGTTGATAACTCTGGTACTTGAATGCGTGGCTATTTCTTGTTCTCTTCTGGGCTGGTATTAGGTACTTAGTAGTTGGGACATCCACCAGTTTATTAGTCATTTTGTACATCATGCATAGTCTAGACATCTTTCTTCTGTCTTCCAGTGAGGTCCACTGTAGGTTTCTTTTCATTTCCGTGACACTAGCACCTCTTACATAGTTGTTCATACAGAATCTTGCAGCTTGATTCTGTACCCTTTCCAATTTGTCTTTGTCTTTCTTTGTATATGGATCCCATACTGTCGCAGCGTATTCTAGGTTCGGTCTTACAAGTGACGTGTATGCAAGTGATTTTACTCTCGTTGGACATGCCCACAGATTACGTTTAATCACTCCCAATGTCTGTTTCGCCTTAGTTGTGATATTATTAACATGTGCACCCCACTTCAGTCCGCTTGTCAGCGTGACGCCCAGATACGGATGGATTTTTGTGGTTGCTAAAGCCTGACCACAAAACTGGTAGCTAGTTGCATGTGGTGTTCGTTTGTTTGTTATGTGCATAATGTAGCATTTTTCGGGATTAAACTGCATGAGCCATTTGCTTTGCCATTCTTCCAGGGTGTTCAGGTCTTTTTGGAGAAGTTGTGAGTCGGTCTGTGTAGAAAGCTCTACATACAATAGACAGTCATCGGCAAATAACCTCACATTTGAGTCAAGCTGATCTGGTAGGTCATTTATATACAAGAGAAAGAGCAATGGCCCCAGGACGGTTCCTTGAGGGACCCCAGACGCTACTTTAACTGGAGCCGACGCCTTCCCTTCAACCACTACTGTTTGCTCCCTGTTGGTCAGGAAAGCCTTTAACCAATTCAGCGTAGGGCCTTGGATTCCATAATACTCCAGTTTTGAGATGAGCCTGCCATGGGGGACTTTATCAAAGGCTTTAGTGAAATCAAGTATTGCTAAATCTACCTGCCGTTTACTGTTTAGTGCGCCAGCTATGTCATGGACTGTTAGTATAAGCTGTGTTTCTGTGGATCGTTTGGCTCTGAATCCATGCTGGTAATCCGTTAATATACTGTAACTTTCTAGGTGCTTCATGATTTGGCTATGGATGATATGTTCAAGTAGTTTGCAGGATATGCAGGTCAGTGAAACAGGTCTGTAGTTGCTGGGGACCGCTCTATCTCCTTTTTTAAAGATGGCGCATATATTTGCATCCCTCCAATCTTTAGGGATTTCTGCAGTGTTTAGCGAGTGTTGGAAAATATTGGTTAGAACAGGCGCGATTTCACTAGCTGTCAACTTGAGGAACCACGGTGGTATTTGGTCTGGTCCGGATGCTTTAGAGGGATTGAGACCTTGAAGCATTTTTTCGACACCATCAGTAGAAACTACTATATGTTCCATTGGAGGAGTACAGGGCTGACCTAGAGATGGCATATCTGTGGTGTCTTCCTCTGTGAAAACACTTTTGAACTGTGAACTGAGTACTTCTGCTTTTTTCCCGCTGTCACTGATGATGGTATTTCCCACCTTTAGGGGTGCTACCCCGACAAGGTCTTTCCTCAGTCCTTTTATGTACGACCAGAATGTTTTGGGTTTGTCAACTATAGCTTCTCCCAGTATGTCTGCCACGTATTTAGAGTGTGCTTGTCTTATGCTTTTCTGAACTCCCTTCTTAACTCTCTTATATTTGTTCCAGTCTTCCTCTTGGCCTGTTTTCTTAGCTTTGTTATAGAGCCGCTGCTTCTTACGACAGTGCCTCCTTAGGTTTCTGTTGAACCAAGGCAAGTTGTATCTGCTTGATGTTATCTTACTTGGGATGTGCTTGTTCATCGTGTCTTTCATTTTGTCTTTGAAGTCTGACCACTTCTGTGTAACTGACATATCCTGAGTTCTTTTGTGAAAGTTAGTTGCATAATCCGTTAGGTCTTTCTTAATGGCTGGTTCGTCGGCTTTTGTGCGGATGTACACTTTTCTCTTAGGTTTCCTGTTTTGTTTCAGTGCCAGGTTAACGTCCACTAGAACCATGTCGTGGTCACTTATCCCCGGGACTACTGTGGTCTTCTCAATTATGTTGGGGTTATTAACTAAGACCAGGTCCAAGAGATTACCATTTCTAGTTGGTTCCTGGACTGTTTGAAATAACCCGTGGTTATCCATTAGGTTTAGTAGTTTCTCTGCTTGGCCTGTGTAGGCCTGACTGTTGTCAGCTACAGTAGTATCCCATTTGATGCCAGGGGTGTTGAAATCGCCAAGAATGATCACATTGTCAGAGTTTATTTTTGCTCCCATTTTACCTATAGACCTGTCAAGTTCATCCAGACTATTGCCCTGGTCTGATGGGGGTCTGTAGTATGTACCTATTATCAGTGGTTTCCTTCCTGCAAGTTGAGTTTGTGTCCACAGAACCTCGCAGTCTGTGTCAAGGTCTGGCCTATGGGTAACAATTAGATCATCTCTGTTGGCCTGAAATACACCACCTCCTTGGCCAGTTTGTCTGTCTTTCCGGTGTGCTATGTAGTTGCTGGGGAATATTTCACTACTTGCTATGTTTTGGTTGAGCCATGACTCTGTACCTGCTACTATATCTGGCTTGTAAGTGTCAACTACTGTCGCCAGTTCAGCTGTTTTGTTCCGCACACTCTGACAGTTTACTAGGAGAAGTTTACTTTTGGATCTCTTGTGACTATGACCCCTCGTTTGAGAATTACCCTGCTTTGATTTAAGTGGAGTGGATGTAGCCATTGGGATTTCGTCTGGTAAACTTGAGTCAGAACTCAGCGTGTCAAATGAGTTTACTGAATGGAATGTTTCATCAGTGATATCGAATATGGCCGATGCAAAGTTGGGTATACCACAGTCACAACATACCCACGAGTATGATCGGTGGGTTTCTAGTGCACTGTATACTTGAGAACATAGCCCAATGCAGTCACTGTGGTACCATCTATCGCATTCATCACAGCATATTGCATTATGGGTGTTACGTACTGCCTTGTTACAACTCCCACATGGAAACTTTGGTGGTCTAGGCCCTGGGTTGATCTCAATATCCCCGCTTAAGATCAGAATCATGATCAGTGAAAACTTTGTGCCACTATTGTGCAATAGCATTTTCTTGCTACTGACGTGAGTTCCGTTAGCCCCGCTGTGCTTAATCATGAAAGCAAAAGTGGCCCAGTCAGATGTGCAATCGGTTCTGAAGTTGCATGTGACCTGTACTTTCTTTATCTCCTGTTTGTCTTTTGGCTGTGATCCTGGCTCAGCCCTGCTAAGTACTGTGCAAAGGGCTAGGAATATACAAGTGTAGTGGAGTTCCATTTTTATTCCCATAACCGCGGGACCCAGTCACCGCTCCTGTTATTCCGGAATTCCTTAGCGGGACCCAGTCAGACCAAGTTGGGCGACACTTGTAGAAAACATTAGCGCCTAAAGTATGCCAAGTCGCCTGTACAACCCTTTATCTAACGTCTATCCATTTGACAACAAAAGACAGTATGAGAGTTTTATATAATCGTGTCTGTTATTCATTTCAGGGCTATTCTCCAACACCTCGCTGCGGATTAAGGACGCCACTAACACATAGCGAAATAGATATGAACTGCAGAGGTGGGTGTCAACGTTATGTTGCCGATCTGATTAAGATAAAGTAATATAAATTGCCAATATATTGCGTAGATATACATGTATACGGTGACAGGAGTCTGAATCCCTCCAGCTATGAATTGCAACATTATGTAACCCAACAATAGTTACCATGGTGACAGATGTCTGGTTCAGGTCATTGCCCTTATCTGTTTGGAGAAGAAGAATGAACAAGTGCAAAAACAATATGCGAAGGTAATACATTAAAAGGCATACATATGTCACGACACAGACACGAGTTATGATTTAATCACTTGCACCAGGTCTTTATTTCGTGATGATTTATACCAAAAGGTTTTTTCCGCTGCTGGCACAAGCGGAGACACGACTGACTGAGCCTCACCGCTCAGAGAAAGAATTATGTACACCCAGATAGAATGGAATACAGAGTTCTTGGCAGGATTGTCCGACATCTATCATATCATTTCTCTATGGCAGTCTGTGTCACTTAATTAATTACCTGTGTAACTCACGCAACACTGAACATGATTGATTATCAACTATGCAACGGCAGTTTTAAACTCATTTTTCTCGATCACAATCATTGCACCATCCGTGAAAGAACAAAAAAAGTTAGTCAGCAACAAATGTAAGTGCCATGTCAGCATGAGCCACACCATCGCCGCTATCTACGATTTGTCTCCAGCAGTTATGAGAAGTTAACAGCCACCTCCCCTGAGGTGCTGCCAAAAAATCTAACATAATCACTACTCTTACAACTACGGTTAACGGACCCCTCTGCCAAGAACTTACTTCACTTTATACATACATAGCATTTCTTCAAAAATATAACACTGAACAATTTGCACGGTAAAATCTGTACTCTCTGCTTCCACCACACTGTCTTATATGATCATACAAAAGATAAAATATATTCCAAGAACAGGTTTAGATCTTGATACTCTGATCACAAAACTTCTGCGTAGTACATATACATACAAATTCTGGATTTTCTGTCATTTCTTCTTAATTTCTCCAGCGATTATCAGGTTTTATAAACCTTTCTTTCTTTTTTTCTACTTTGGGGCTGCCTACGCTAACTCTATGCCAGCAATAGGGTGCTACAAGTGCCGTCAACTACTGGACTTCACAATGTACACTGAATACAAGCACATTGCAGGCTAACTCTATTGCCATTACTTAGAAGTAATTCTGTTCCTCCCAGTTCTGAAACCAACCTGCCCCCTCCAAAAATGGTCCAAATTTGACTGTAGATGAGATCTACACTGACACTGTGTGACCATTTCTGTTCACCCCTATCTTTCAGTGAGATCACCCAGATTTCTCTCAGTCTCTTCTGTTTTTGGACCGCACTACTGTGACAATAGGGGTGTTCCTATTCAGTTCACAACTGGGAGGGACACATTGAAGCAGAGCAGTTGGTATGCACTTCACGACATGGCTACAGAAAATGCAGCAGGGCCTACTATATTGCAACATCGGCAAAACTGCACAATACCGGTATATCTCACCACTTAGTATTTATCACATCTTCTTCATAATTTGGTCTTCAAATCTTGGTCTGTTACAGAACAAAGTTACTACACCAGCTCCGTCCACCCCCAAATCAGCTTGTATACTCTTCTTACAGAACAAAAAGCAACAGAAAATCAGGTGAAAATAAGTCCTAAATCAGTCTTCCTCCTTTCGTGAGCAGAGTGTACAAAAAACAACAGTTTATCCAAGTACTCTAACTGTCCTATAGTGATGTCAGGAGAAAAGGAAGTTTGCTGTTCAATCGTTAAGTGCAATAGAGGACAATTCATCAATACATACACACAACTCAAACCTGCGATTTAGCTGCCTTGGCAATCTTGATACACATTGTAGACGTTACTACCCCACCAAACTTGTCATATCACATCTGACTTCATACAGTTTGGCAGTGTAGTTTAGTTCACATGACAATTGCTATGAAGAATAGTACAGTATATCAGTTGTAACTCACTAACAGTGCAGAATTTTTCTTGGGTCAGTTCTAACTTTTGCACACAAACTCCTATTAACTACAACATTGATGCTTCAAGTTCCATTGAACAAGCTTCCCATTGGCAAGCAGTAAACCAATCAGAGATGGCCTTTCACACATAACTGTATATTGGTGGTCACTGACACTGAAAAGCCACCTCTGATTGGTCCATGGCTAGCCAATCAGGAACTGGAAGTTAATTTTCAAACTGAAACGTCACTTGTTAAGGCAGACTTTCTAATACGGCAAGAGAACTGTCACTGACTGTACATTTAAATCTGACTTCCCAAAATTATAATAGATAGGTTCCATGATTTTTGGCCTCACTGCACATTCTGTACAAGATTCTCAATAGTTTTCTTCTTAATCTTCAGCTCAGCAATGTAGGTGTTCTCACGAACATCTGGTTAGAACTAGTTATTTGTGAGCGTTGGTCCAATTGACAGCTTCATTCTTCGTTATAGGTCGATGCTGGTCTTGCTTCTACGCAGCGGACGGGGTCGTAGGGGTCACTATACAGTTGCTATGACGATCATGAGGTGAGCGATGTCGTTGACACTCTCCAGCAGATCGGGCGCAAGTCTTCCCAGGTGTTTCTTGGAGAATTCCGACGGCGGAAAGATGTGTAGGACGTAAGCAGGCTGCGAAGAGAGAAAAGAGTTTGTTACCTCAAAGAAGAATTGTTTTTTTTTTGTTCTATACAACCAAACAGGGCTCGAAATACTACCTGCACATGGTGCAAGTAATTTTCAATGTCACTTGCACCAGTAGAGGTATGCAGAAGAAAGTATTTTGAGCCCTACCATGTTATTTTTTTTTCTTCCCTATCAACATTTCAGTAGCTACTTTCCTCAGAGCTGTAATACTAACTTTTCACCACTAGCCCCGAGGTAAGTAGTTGATAAACTACCATAACATTGGCAGGTCGAGAAAATAAGCTTTTCCGCATGACTGTTGGACCATGTCACTGACGAAATCAAAGGAAACCAGGCAACATAAAGCAGCATGGGGTTGAGATGGGTGGATGAAATCATGGTGGAATTGCTTTTTTTTTGCGAGCAAGTTACAAAATAAAGAAGAGACACTTTTGAATATGGTAGCAGACATATTGTTTGGATTGGGTTTCCCTTAGAATGCACTGTCCAACTGCAACCTAAACTAGTAAAAGTAAAGGCCCTCCTCAACAAAAACTACATTGTATCATTCCAGGATTTTAGATGATAAAATTTCAAAAATGTTTAGAGAATGAAAATATCTTTCAGTTTTATTTGCAGTGCACTGTTTTTAGCAGGAAAATTCTTCCTAAATAATAGTACATGTACATCATTGTATAGTACTCAATCTTTTGGATTTACTGAGTAACACTGAGCTGGTGTGTTACGCAGTTATGCCGGCTATACCAATACAGATACAGCTATGGTCCCGTTTTTGTTTTGTTAAACATTTGCAATTCTTTTTGGAAGTCTTCTCTGACATTCGTCTACACTGGAGTGAACCTTGGGGAATATTTTGATCCTGGTGACTGGCAAGTTCAAGTAAGAAGAAATGCAAAAATGCAGCGGCAGCATGGATGGGCCTCAGAGTCAGACAAACGGACGCAGGGGGTCCGATTCTGAGGACGTACACGACACGTCAATGTCAAAACGAAAAAAGCCCCTTACATAATAATCAGCAGAGTTGTAGTATCCAGAGTGCTACGGGTACAAGGGAAATGAAACACAGCATTATTTACACACAAGTGTCGGGCGTCTAGACATAAGAAACAACTACCAGAGCCACCTCAAGATACAGGAACTTCAAATTGAAAATCATAGTCTCTACGGTATACTTCAAACAATACTGAGGATAAAAATAAAGAACACCATAACACAGGATCTATTTGAAGACACTTGCTCATACTTCTCTACACTGGCTCCGTCAAAAAACTTCACACAAACAAATAAAGACCTACGAAACACACTGTCCACGACTACAATGTAGCTGGATATAAAAAAAGTGTTTCATGCTGTTCTTGTAGTCTCCACCAGGCAAATTGGACCCTCTCTGGCCGGCCAACTTCTCTGGCCAATTAAAACCCCTTTTTAGGCCAATTTCTACTATTCATTCAGCCTGCAAAGGAGTCTGGTGGAGACTACTGTTAAAGTCTTGTACAGGGTTAGGGTTAGGATTTTAAACTGCTAAGAGTTCTCCCTACCTGGCTGGACCCAGGAGCAGGAACATTGATGATCCCTGCAGCTTGTTTCTGCTGAAGGTAAGTGATGAAGCCGGAGCGGAGAGTACTGGTTTGGTTAATGACATCTGACTCGTCCCTTCCACACGGCAGGGCCAGCAACAGGCAGTAGTCCTCATCACTCTGCACACATCAAACAAAACATTTCAGAATTTTGCAGAGAACATGTTTGGCAGATGAAGTATATTTTTTTGCCATCATCTTTCCTTTGACTGAGCTTTCAACCTATCATTCTGCCTGTAAATCTTCCCGTCATGCTGTCATCCTATGCTCAGTGAACGTTCAAGCTCAAAGTTCACCCGATTTCCTACACTTGTCTGACCTTTTGAACCTACATGTAGCTTAGCCAAATATGTTTGTGCATTGAAAATAACTATCAGTATACAATTTGACCAGCCTCACAAAATTATGATAGAGTACCACTTTTAACATTCTGTTGTACTTGCTTTGCGCCCTCCTCTTAGTATACCGTGAAATAAAGGGCCGTCCTAGGCTTTACCCAATCAACCTTTCATGTTGTATGTACATTGCAATAAAGATTTTAAATCCCCATCTGGTTCAGTTTCAGACCTGGACCCGATCCTCTAGACTTGGATCTGGACTTGGACCTGATCAAGCCGAACAGGTACCCACACCCGTTAGAAGACCTACCATCATTCTTCTGTCCACTCCGTCCAGTTGCGTGGGCTCCATCCTCATCCTCTGGGCGATCCTGAGCGGCCTCTGCCCGCTGTCGGCGGTCACCGCGGGTAACGAGTGTCGGGCCAGCTGGGCGTTCCCTGCCACAAAGTGCATCTGGACGGAGGACGCATCGTTCTTCAGCGCAATCATACCTTCCCAGAACACAGGATACCTCTGTGGGTGGAAAAAAGATCTCAGCATCAGAGGTTGGAACTAAAGTCAAACTACAGTGTGTGTGTGTGTCTGTACGTCGTTCAGTGCAATCATACCTTACCAGAACATAGGATACCTCTGTGGTTGGAAAAAAAGAACATCTCCACATCAGAGGTTGTTGGAACTACAGTCAAAATTACAGTATGCTTGTTACCACCTAAGAATGACAACCTACATGTAGCCACTGTGGCCACTTTTACGACCTCTTGTTTCTGAGTTGAATACTCTGCATTACACCACATGACCCCAAAATGTATGTGTGTGTGTGTGTCTGTGGTCAGGGAATACCCCCACCAATAAGCCAATACTCAACTGTACAAACACACACATGCACACACACAGAAAAGCACAAACACACACACACACACACACACACACACAAAGGCACACATGCACGCAGACACAAACGCTTGTTCGCACACATACATGTTCACGCGAGTGTGCACGTGCACACACACATGCACATACATTCATATCACTAACAAGTCCGTCTCCTTACCTGCACCAGATTCATGTGTTTCTCTGCCGGTCTGGACGCAGCCTGCGGGGGTTGGGAGGGGGGCCTGCTGGACAACTGCGGCGCCTGCGTGGATGTGACCGGGGACGGCGCCGGGTCCTTTGGCGGCTCCTTACGTCCGACTTGCTGCTGGTAGGACGACGTAGCCGGGTGGTGTGTTGACGCCGGGGTTGGCGGATGGAAGGGCTGACTCTGTGACGACCCTACGTGGTAGCCTGGTGACGGTAAGGAAGAGGCCGGGGATTTTGTCTGAGGGGACGGCATCTGTATGACGGCAGGCGAGGGTGCCGCGCCAGGGTGTAACGTCTCCGGGGTCCGGGTTTCCGGGACTCGATGCTGGGCTGCCTCTCTCATGGTCATCATGGTGTGGTGTGGGGAGAACGGTCGCGGGGTGGGCTCCATGCCCTGGGATCGTGCCAGGTGTGGAACCACTCGGGAGTCTGGCATGGAGTATGGCACGCCGGGGAGAGCTCGCTGTTCTGACTCCTGGGCTATCCGGGCCCGCGCGTCCTGCTGTACTAGCCTCTGTTGCTCGGCGTATCTCTGGTACTGCAGCCGGGCGTCCACGTGGCTCGTCGTGTCCACCTGCAGTGGTCAAAATAATAATAAATGGTTTAATGGTTAAACATTACCCATGCAATCACAGCCTTTTATACAATTATAGGGCTGAATTGATGCAGGGTTTACAATCACATAATGCAAGTGATACATATAGCACATTTTCTCCACACACTTTTGTGGAACTGTCGCAAGGGTCTGTGCGGCTGCCATTCAGCGCAGAAAACACAAAAGCTCTTAAACCATATTATGCGTACACCATTGAACCGCTAGCTTGCTATTTTTTCTATCATTCTGCAACATTGCAGATTGCATAATTTTTTTCTTCAGCAATGTTGAAAATATCTCTGCAAAATGCAGACTGCAGATGGGTATTTGTAACACTTATCTACAAATTTATCTACTGCATTATTAAATTTTTGTTTGCAAAATCATTTTTGTTTGTTTTGTTTAAGTATGATAAAAGCTCCTTACATTTGTCAACATACCCATTTTCTTTGGTTGATATGATATGATATTTATTTTTAGTTTTTGCTAAGTATTATTCTGATTGTCATTGTACCCATATTACTTTGTTTGTTGATGTTTAAGGATCTGTGGAACTTTGTGGGGTTTTTTTTTTTTGTTATTTTTTGAAATAAAAAAAAAAACACACTGACCTGTATGGCCCTGCCCTCGTGGAATGGTATGCGTGCCTCCTGCGGGTGTCCGCCGCGCTGTTGCTGCTCCATCTGTTGCATCCTCTCCATGTACTGGATGGGCGTGCTATGGGCGGAGGTGGAGTGGGGAACTGCAGGCTCCGGCTGCTTCGGTTCCATTCATAAGTAGAAGGACAAATACAACAACAGAAGTAGAAGTGTTAGTTGTACAGCAGTAGGTTCTTTGTAATTACATGTATCTATGTCATGATTATCTTAGGTCCAGATAAATGTCATCTAAGAGTCATCTTAATACTGAAAGGGTAAAATAATAATGTAGCATATCATAACATTATGGCACATTTAAAGCAGTGTATACTGGCTCTGATATGACAAGTGATCTTATCAATGATACACATAAAATTTAATGTATAATTGCAGCAACATTCAAAATTTGACAGTTTTCATTACAGTCACTAAAATCAAGGAGGTTTAAACCTCTTTTAAACCTCCTAGCAATAACCACAAGACATCAAGTTCGCCGGCTAGTGGAACAGTTTTAGCTAATCTCAAATCAGTTTTTAGCCCGTGTGTCAGACCCATAGCATGCTAGGCTCAGAGTTGGCCAGCGTAAAGCAGGACTTAACTGCATGTTGGCACTAGAGCTGAGGAACTGGCCTTTCTTAGGCCCTATAACAGTCTGGCTAGGCAGATTTCTTGAATTGTGAGGAGCTTGTTACAATTATTGGGTCTAGGCTCCCTTTGCTCTGAAGAAATTTGCTTGGACGTTTAGCCAACTCTCTACTTTTATCCCAGTAACTCACCGGCTGCTTCTGGCTCTCCTGTGAGATCCTCCGGTCGGCAGTCGGCGGCCTCTCGGGCGCCTGGGACGATGAAGACGGGATGAAACGCTCCGTGTGCATGCCCGGCGCGAGGTGGACCTCCTGGTGTGCAACAATTCTGCCGTCCGGTCCGACAACCACCTGCGGGGGTAGAAACACTTTTTTCAGTGTTCTGCAATATTGCAAAATTTTTTCTGCTGCAATTCAGAAATACTTTCTGCAACAACAGATGATAAACAGATGATAAACCGGATAGAGAGAGGGAGAGAGAGAGATCTATTTAAAACAAATTTTAAAAAATCAGCTTAGTAGAAATTTTAATGAAGCAAAGACGTAAAAGTAGTATAACAACATAATTTTGCTACTATAAATCATGCTATCTGGGTTTAGAAGCACAATATGTTTTGTCTAGGCGAAACTGTGGCCATGTCCACAAAAATCCAACATGCCTCATTTTTTTCAGTCGGCAAAATTGCAGGTTGCTTTTCTTTTCTTGGAAAGTACTACGGTACATCATGCAGACTGCACTTAGACTGACCTGTGTGGTGGGGTGGATCATGCGGATGTCCTGGGTGCCCATCGGTCCTCTCATCATGTACTGCTGCATGCGTGGGTCGTACTCCGCTCCCCTCTGCACCTGATTCAGATTCACATTTTTTATTTCCAATGACATAGCAGGCACACGAATACATTTTGTACATCAATGTTACCTGAAATCATTGTCATTGATCACAAAGTATACACATCATAATACCCCAAAAAAACAGTTACTCAAGCACCTGGATATGATTTTGGAAACGGTCAGGCATTTCAGGTAGCATCCACTACCTTTCGTCAGTGACACTACGAGAATGCAGGAGAATTGCAGGTTTATAAGCACAAACCTTCTGTTTGTAGCACTGACAAAAGTTAGTGAATGCTACCTGAAATGTCTGTTTCCAAAATCATATCCAGTTGCTTGAGTAACTGTTTTTTGTCGTATCTGATTACATGGATGTCTCACCTTCACCAACGTAAATACATTATAAAATAAAATCCTGACACGTCGAGGTTAGACATCCAGGTAATACGATAGACCAGAGGAGAAATGCAGGTTTATAAGCACAGTCACTGACGAAAGCTAGTGGATACTAGCTGAAAAGCCTGACCGTTTCCAAAATCATATCCAGTTGCTTGAGTAACTGCTTTTTGGCGTAAAATCCTGACAGAATAATCTCCCATACCTGCAGGTCAGGTCGTGTTGTGGTGACCTCTGCCCTCATCTGTGTGTAGGGGTGGGAGGAGGGAGGGGTGGCCGGGGTGGCTGACAAACCCTGCATGCGTGGTGAGGGCTGCCGCCCAGCCTGGTGAGCTGTGGACAGAGCTTCCCTACTCGTGGGAACCTGAAGGAATAAAGGAAGGAAGACCTTTATTGTACAAACAAAAAATACCCTTGTCTTCCTAGTGGTTACAGTTGTTCCATCTAACAGAGCAGTGCTTTGAGCAGAAGTTCAAAATTCATTGTTTTAATAATAAAGCTGCCTGGTATAATGACTTCATGGCTCCTATTGTAGCATTTGGGGCTATCATAGGATGCCTAGTCCTGTTTCTATACATTTTTTTTTCTTTCACCCTGACGCTTCATATTTTTTCTGAAGAAATCTGAGAACCAACAACTCAAATTGGTGTGGCCTAAAATAAACAAATTGTGATACAACTGTGAATACATTCTCACTCACCTCCTTCACCTCCTGTTGCTGGTAGTGTGGATGGAGCATGCCGGGGAGCGCGGGTCTCACACCGGAGTGCGAGGTCACCACCTCCTGCTGTGCCCTTTGATCTCCGACCCCCGGGACCATGTGGATGCTGGTGGGAATCATCTGCATGCGAACGCCCGGGTGCATCTGGCGGATGTGCTCGTAGGGAACGTTGTACAGCACCTGTCCGCTGGGGTGAACCATCCTGTACTCCATACCCTGCATGGCGGGGGACGTCTTCCTGGGCGGGACGTGTCCAGGGCTGTGCTGCCGAGAGTGATACTCCATCGGCAAGCCGCGGGTGTCCATCTTCGGAGGCTGCGCTTCGCTCTGGCTGATTCTTCCCTCGAGCACGGCTTGGCTCACAGCTATAGGCTGCCCCGTGCGACTGTCTAGGATGTGGGAGGTTGTAACAGTTGGGTACGCCTGGCTGGACTTGGAGAGCTGGGGATGGGACATCATCATCTGCTGTGCCTGCGTGTACACGACCCTGGTGCCCTCCATCTTGCCCGGCTGCCCCGATGTGGCTACGACGTGTTGCGACTGGCTCGCTCTTGGATCTGGTGCCGCGTGAGGCGGAGTTTTCCTCTGGTCTGGCTCCGTCGGATGTCTCTGCTTCGAGGACGTGTGAAGGTGGTTGGCGGCTCCCGAATGCTGGAAGTTGGGAGGAAGGTACGGCGCACTCTGCGGCCGAGTTTGCCGGATCATCTGGATGTCCGAACTCTCGATAGGGAGAGTTGTTGGAGGCATGGCATACTGTAAACCCGATGATGTTGCATGGAGGTGCTGGTGGTGAGGCTGTGACATGGGTGTACCCTGCACTGCGTCACCTATTATAATGTATAACGTAATATTGTTATTAATTGATGTTATTACTAGTAATTGATGCTAAATGTGCAGAAGTTATTTTAATTTCGCTTATTAAAAGTATTATTAGTATTGTTATTAGGTATATAGAGAATGTAAATACAAATGTAGTTGTTATGATGTTTGTATTTTAAATGTATGTAAAAGGACTCCAGGAAGACTAGTGGTTGTATTGTATTGTAGTAAGACAGCGGTTTTTTTTCAAAGTAATTAGACGATAATGTATAAAATAATTGTTATTATGTTTGGATTTTACAATGTATTGACAAGAGTAGTGGTGAATTGTCACTAATTGGAGGTTTCTGAAATAAATAAACAAACAAACAAACCTATTCTGCCTTCTCCTGACACTCTGCGAGGCTGTTGAGGCATCCCCTCCACTACTTGCTGCTGCTGACTGATCGCAGATGTCACAACTACCCCAGGATACGTCATGGTAGCAACTTCAGGAGTCCTGCCTTTTAGAAGGACATGTTTGAGGGTTGGCGCCTGTGCTTGAGTTGGCTGCGTTGTGGTTGGGCTAGTGTCGAACTTGGTATCCGGCGGCTTTATTCCTACTGGTTTATCCGACTCTGCGGACTCCAAGGAGCCAAAGCTTGGTCTGGGAGGCCTGGAGGAGTTTTTCATGGACTGTACAGCTGTCGGTGCGTCCACCACTTCTGGTCGAGAGGGGGACTTGTTCTCGGGAAGAGTGACGGAGGTGGAGGAAACAGCCGGACTAGCCATCCCGGGTCCGTTGTTTCGGCTGGAGGCGAAGTTGAGTTTGGTGGTGCTGGACACGAGAGATTCCGGGCCGGTGGAGACGGCTTCCGGTACAGGGGTCTGCATGGGGGCTGGCATACGGGACACGGCAGCCAGGTCGGCCACCTGTGGGGAGATGGTGTCCTCGAGTTTCCAGGAGTGCATCAGTGGTTCTGCGTTCTTCGGTCGCCGGCCGCGCCCGCGTCCGCGCCCCCTCCCACGCCCTCTTCCTCTCCCCGTACCTGGGGAGGGCAACGGCAGCAGCATCGGGTCCACTTTAGGGATGGTTGGCATGACGGGGGGAGCCGGGGGGGTCTCTACTGTCGTGGGGACTGGCACAGGTGCCATCAGCCCTGGAGAAGTTTGAACCTTGGTCTCTGCTTCGCCCGGTTTACCCGCTGCCATTGGTCCTACGGTCATGCCGGTTACCTCCGGACGCAGTTCGGGTGTTGCCATCACCGGTATTCTATTCTGTTCGGTCTGGGAGCTCACCACAACGTCGGTCTTCATCGAAACGGATGGTTGAGGCTCCATGAACGGCTCAAGTCGAGGCGTTCGGTTGGACAGCATTACCGGCTGAGCCTTGGGACTGGCAGACATGCTGGAAACACTGGAGGCCATCGCTGACGAAGAATCTGCGACCGCTTGGGCCTTCTCGCTCAGGTTAGACTGGGACATGATGGCCTCTTCTGCTGTCGACGTCACCGGGTCGTTGGCGACATTATCTCCTCTGACAACCCCTTCAATCACCTCTGCTAAGGTGTCTGGGGACGAAGGTGCCTGCTCCTCGGCTCGGGAGGACTGGGGGTCCTCTCGGCTCGGATCTTGCGCCACAGAGTTGGGCGGACGCCCCCGACCCCTGGTTACCGGCTCGGGTTCAACTCGTGGGGACGCTTCCCTCCCCCCCAGCGCCCTCTCCGGCGTCTTGCTGGTGTCCATCAGCTCCGACTCGCTAGCAGAGGTGTCAGACTGAGCTGCCCGGGACGAACGCCGTGCCCGCCGCCCCCTTCTCGGCCGCTCTCTCTCCTCGGCGGGAGGAGTCTCATCCGTGGAGGGGCGGGGCGACGGCATCTGGAAGGACGGAGACTTTGCTGGCGACTTGGACCCTCTGGCAGGGCTCTGCTCCTCGCCCAGTGACTTGGGCTTCCTTCCTCTTGTCGACTTCGGCCTTTCTGGAATGGGAGACTCGGGTTCGTCTGGCTCGAAGTCGAAAATGTCCCCTCTTCTCTCCAGGCCCTTCTGTGAGGCAAGTCTGGGCCTCCTCTCCCGGGTGCTTGTTCTAACTTCTGGTGTGGGGATGGCAGTAGCTGCTACGGGAGACTTCTGCTCAACAATGGGAGGTTTGGCTTCAGGTTCAAACTTTGGCTCTTCCTTTACTACATCCCTTTTCTCTGCTTTGCTCTTCCACCCTTTGAGTTCAACACTAGGTCTTCCTTTAGCAGTTTCAACATCTTCCTGCTTGGTAATGAGAGTATCTTGCTCTGTTGTGTGTTTCATCCTCATCTCTAGCTCGGTAGTTTTTGATTTTGTTTCAACTTCTGAGTTATCATTTTGCTTGTATCTATCGAGTCTCGTCCTTTTAGTGGGAGATTCATAACTTGATATTTCTGGTTCTTCTGTTTTGATAGCTAACGGCTTGAAGTCTTCCTCGGCTTCTGCCATTTGTGTTAACTTTGCTTCAGACTTAGATTCCCCTCTATTTCGACCCCTCTTGGACTTGCCAGATCTTTCAGGCTTCTCTGGAGTTTCCACCTTTACTACTCTGTCTGGTATGTCTTCTGGGTCTTCCTCGATTACCTCTACCCTTTGCCCTTTCCTGATTCGAAGTTTCTCTATCTTTGGGAACCTCACTTCAACATCCGGAGTTGGTTCATCCACAAAGGTCTCCTCTTTTACAGCTGGTTGGGGTGACTGTGTTTTTCTTCTGCCTTTCTGCTTGTGCTTTTTCTCAGCCTTTCCTGGAATCAACTTCATGATGATGGGGCCTTCTTTTTCCGTCTCCTGTTTGGGCGACTCTGCTTTGGTCTCGGAAAGCTTCCTCTCCTTCTCTGCCCTTCTCTTGCTGGTTCGGACTTCAGGTTCTGGTTTCACATCTTCCTCAACCCGCTTTACCCTTTCTCTCTTGAGAATGAGCTTCTCAACTTTCTCTTCTGTCTTTGAAGCTATAGAAAACAAGGACTCTGAGGGTCCAGGTTCCTCTACAACCTTCCTTGATCCTGACTTCCGTCCGGGTTGTTTTTGCCCTTTGATGTTTGGTTTGATCGTGACAGCCTCAGAACTCTCAGCACCACTGGATGGGCTAGGAGAACGGTGTCTCTCTCTCTTGGGAGGATGCTCCACTTTTACTTCCGGGGTCTTGGCCTCCGAAACTTGAAGCTTGCTTTCCTGGAGCACAGGCTTGCTATCGTGGATGGGCGGTTTGACTTCTTGTGGCTTCGGCGACCCATCAGTACTCTTAGGCTCCACCGTTTTCAAAGTGTCCATGGGTTTAACTGACATTTCGTCATTTGACTCCCGACTATACGAACGCTTGCCGTGACTCGAGGAAGACGACGCCTGGGGTAGCTCTTTCTTGACCGGTGATGATTTGGACGACCTCCGTGGGAACAGGGTGATTTTACCAGCTGGCGATTCTGTAGAGGTGGAAACGCCCGAAGACACGGGCGAGACTGCAGAATAAGGAGGGTACATCCGCGGTCTCCCACCTGTCATTAGCTCAGCCGGCATCTCCTTAGCCTCTGCTTTGGTGCGAAATCTGAACTCTGGTGCTGGGAAGCTGACTTTGATATCCGGCGACGGATCGTCGTACTTCTTGTTTAACTGCTCTAGCCGCTGGGCATCCTGCTCGAAGATGCTGCTACGAAATCTCTGCTGCAAGAGTTTCAGCCGATCCTCTTCCTTCTCTTTCTCCTTCTGCTCTTCATTTGAAGGCGAGGGTTCCACCTTTGGTTTCTTCTTGATTCGACCGATGAGAACCTTTGGTTTTGGCTGCGGCTTGGGCAGCTCCACACTGGCTTGATGTAGTTTGCTTTCTGTCTGTTTTTGGGAGGACAGGGCGGCCGGGGGTTTGGTATCTGTAACCGAGGTGCTAGGATAGGTGGAAGTAGGAGCTTCACGTTTTGACAGCACAGGAATTGAAGCTTGAGCCTCCTGTTTAACTTTTACGACACTACTTTCACCTTGCCCTTCATCTGGAAGTTCTGCCTTGTTGCTCTGTACAGTTCCTTCAGGAGTTTGGTCGACTTGAGACTCGATTTTAATTGTTGAAGACTCTGCGTTCGAAGATTCTTGTATCGATGAAATGAAAGGCGGTTTTCTCTCCGCACTGTGACAGACTTGAGTGGGCCAGTGAGAGAAGCGCTCGTCACGGGACTGCATGGGTTTTGGCGACAGCTCAGAAGGTTCCGCTAACGGGTCGTTCTGCATGTCTTCTGAAGACGGCTTCCTCTCTAACACAGGAGGCTGCGCGTCTGGCGTCTCCGGGGTTTCCGGTCGTGTTTCCTCCACCACTGTCTGCTTGTAAGCTATTGATGTGGACGGCTCGGGTTCGAGAGAGCTCATGGACGGAGGCGACATCCCCATAGCCTGTAACAGGTCGTCTGCAGCAGTCTTCGCCTCAGACATTTCTGCCTCCCGATCTTCCTGCTTCAGTACCACGGCAGGGTGGCTGAATAGGAGACTACTCTCCTGGGAGGATGTAGAGTTAGGCATGGTGATGCCCTCTACAGCGGCCTGGTTTTCTGTCATGGCTTGGTCCTCAGCTGAGAGCTGGTTGGATGTCGTTGTTGGTGGGACATTGATGGAAGGAACCTCGCTGCTTCCACCGGACGAAGCCATAGTGATCATGCCTTCAACTTCCACAGCTGGGGTGCTGTCGACCACTGGTACTTCCATCGCGCTGGTCGGAAACTGTCTGGTCTCCTCACGTAACGAGCTTGGGCTCTCGCTTGTTTCCGACTGTGATGTGGACACTGTGCTGATGGCTGGAGACTCTTCCTCGTACGGGACTAAGCTGGGCCGCCTTGTCCTCCCCTCTGGCGACGCCGGGCGGGGATCCGGCGACACCGGTTGGCTGCCTCCGTCCATTTTGGAGCTGCCGGCTTCCGGTTCTAACTCATACGGAACAAGGCTGTGTTGGACATCGCTTGAGGTGCTCACGCTTGACGTTTCTTCCTTAGACGTTGTCGACATTGCACTACTTGAAGCTGACGCTGTCTCCCTCTGGGAAGAGGAAGTGGAGGGTTCCACTAAGTGGGGCAGTGGAAGACCCGGGCTCTGGCTGCTGCTGACTTGCGCGGGTTCTGGGAAGGAGGGCTGCGCGAGGACTACCGTTGTCTCAGGTTTGGACGAACTAACCGTAGGTTTGGAGGAACTGACCCCTCCGGTTGTAGAGGCAGAAATGCCAGGTTTGGAGGTGGTCACTCCTGGTATCATAGCCTCATCATCACTGTCCAGCCTTGCGTGGCGATAGCTGCGTTTTTTGGCACTGCTCGAGGATGGCTCGACCTCACCCTCTGTGAACTTCTTCCTCTTCTTGGTGAAGAAAGAAGAAATCTTTGGCACAACTGAAATGTCTTCTGGGGACTTCCCGACTTCGAAGGCGAGACTGAGACTCTCGTCTTCTTCCCACGAAAGAGACAGGGGTCGCCGCTTCTCTTTTAGTACCTTTGCTTCCGCCTTTGCCTTCGCCTCTGCCTCCACTTGTTGAAGGGAGTTCTGGTTTTGCTGCTGACGTGCCCGCCTACTTGCTTCCATCTGTTTCCTCAGACCCTGACTCGTGTCGATGTTTTGTTCCACACTTGACACATCTTCTTTCCCTGTGTTTGATGACTCGACGCCCTGAAGTTCCCCTCCCTCCTCCTTCCCCTTGGCATGTACGATGACTCCCAGTTTCTCCTCCATGGATTTCCTGCGACTTCTGTAATCCTTCTGCTGCTTGGCAATGAAAGGGTCGACGACGGCCGAGCTTACAGGTGATTTTGAACCACCGGCTGCGGAGACGCCCGGTGACTTAGCTCTTACCGGGGGCGGCGATCTAACCGGGGACTTGGGAGCACCTTTCTCTTGAGAGTTGGACTTCATCTTGAGGTGAAGGGATAGCTCTACTCCTGCCTGCAGTTTGAGTTGCCGTTCCTGTTTGGCGAGCTCTTGCAGTTGTTCGTGTGCAACTCTGGCCCCATCAGATGGAAGCCCGTCCTGAGGACTCTCTATCCCTCCTGACTCCAGCTGCCTCAGAAGCTTCTGGATGCGAAGTTTCTCTCTCTGAAGCTCTTCGACGTCAGACAACTCTGCCATTTCATCCTTCGGATGCATTTGGGCGTCAGATTTTGGCTCTCTTCTTTCCAGCTTTTCAAGCTTCTTCGTGAGTTCGTATTCTTTATGTTCCCTGGTTGTCTTATCGTGAGCCTTTTCTTCGTGTCTGACCCTTTCTTTAAGATCTTGGAGCTCAGCGGAGAGTACCACACGTTTTTCTAACGGTTTTTCAGCTGATTGCCTTCTAACTTTTTCATTTCCACCTTTTTCTTTCTGGTCCTTTGGCATTTCGTGTTTAACAACTTTTTTGTCCTGATCTTCCTTTATGAGATCCGTTGCAAATCTTCTCTTACGAGCTTCAAGCTTCTTCCGTAGCTCCTCTTCTTCCTCGTGAGACTTGCCATCGGATGAAGACGTCTCTAAGTGTTTCTTTGTCTTCACCTGACCCTCAGAGTCAGCTGAAACAGAACTTCTTCTAAGCTGTACTCTGTCCAGCTTCTCTTCTGCTATATGTACATGTTCTGACGTGGACTGTTTCTCCACTTCTTTACTTTCCTTTGGTTGTTTTGCGAGTTTAGCTGCTTCTGCTTGTTTTGCAAGTTTAGCTGCTTCTAGCTCTTTTATCCGTTCTTTCTCTCGCTCTTTCTCTTTCGCCTTTGCCAGCGCCTCCATCTGAAGGTGTTTCTTGCTTTTCTTATAAACCATCTGCTCCGCTTCCTCGTTTTCAACCCGATATCTTTCCGGTTTCTCCAGAATTTCTTCGACGGGAAGCTTTGCCTTTCTGCTGGGTGCAGGAGCAGCGTCGGGGCTTTTCGCCTTACTGAGGTTCATGATCTTGCTCTTCAGCTTCTTCGTTTCCTGTTTAGATGGTTTGACAGGAACTGGGCTCTTAGACCGGGCTGGGCTGGTGTCAGGACTGAGAATGGGGTCCTTTTTCTCCTTTTTCCTGGGTTTCCTGTCCTCGGACGACCCTACAGGACTTCTACTCTGCGTGCTCTGCTTGTCAGTGCTCGGGCTACGGGCGGGGCGACGCGAATCCACGCTGCGACTTTCGATACTGTGACTTCTTCTTTCACGGGACGACAACCGCCCCGGGCTGCGACTGTGGCTCCTACTTCTCGGGCGAGACTGCGGGCTGTACGACTCTCTCTGGCTGTAACCGTCTTCGCTACCCGCTCTTCTCTCTCTCTGGCGATACCCGGTGTACTCGCGTAGCTCCTGTTCGTACGAGTCCGCGTAGTACAGCTCCGGCCCTTCGTAGTCGTCGGGGTACCTCCGCCGCCGGTCGGGTGGATACGCCGCCCGGTAGTCGTAGTATTCCTCGTAGCCTTGTTCGCGACCGCGGCCAGAGTATAGCGGTCTCCGGGGCATGATGGTGTAGTCCCCTTGTCCCCGACCGTTGTCGTAGAACGCGTAGCCGCCTCGGTTGTTTGTCCGAGCATCGACTGGGAAGGACCCTCTTCTGTTGCTTGAGGAGAAACAAGAATAAAACAGAAATTAGAGCAAATAAGAGCAAATAACAACGCCACCATAGTCCCCAACCCTCAGGCATGAGGATGGGACTAGGTAAGGGTAAGGTATAGGTAATAGCAAATAATAGACCAGTGACCAACCTTATATTAGAAGTATTAGTGTAGGTGGAATACATAATTGATAAGTTTTATGACTGTTAGTTAGTATTACTACAAATTTTCTCAGAGTCTTACACACAACACCATAACTTTGATAAAAATGTCCATTTTGTCTGACCAATGACGATAAACATGAAAAAAAAAAACAGAAATTCATATTCGTAACCTTTGAAATCAATAAACAATTTAAAAATTATTGCAAAAAACAATTCTGACAAGTCCTGTAAGACAACTTTGACACTGAACTATATTTCAAACAGTAAAACCCATTAGCTAGGACTTGTATCATTACTGAGAGGAAAAATATCATCCTGCTTACCCTGTGCCCGCTTCCCGAAATCTCTCGTACGGCGGCGGCGGCTCCCCCTCGTACAGAAATCTGCGGGGCTCCCGATCGACGGTCTGCCCCGACTGTTCCATGGAGCTGAAGAACGCCCGCTGGCTGTCACGGTTGGCAAAGTCCACCTGCAGAGAAGAGATAACAGGACATCAATACTGGTACATCTCACATAGGCTCCTCCTTCTCTTAAAGGCATCTAGTGCAGTTTTTAGGGCTTGGAAACCAGATTTTTCAAAGTCAATATTCCAGTCACTTATCTCACACAATTAGTCAAATACTGAGTTGAAAGAACACTATCCTAAAAGACATTCATGGAACAGAAATACCGAAAATAGCTCCTCCTAGTATTTGCATATCAATCCATAGTTCTTGCTTATAAACCTGCCTTTTTGCACAAGTTCTCTAGTGTCACTGATGAAAGGTAGTGGATGCTACCTGAAACGTCTGGCCGTTTCCAAGATCATATCCAGTTGCTTGAGTAACTATTTTTTGCCGTATCTTATTACCTGGATGTCTAACCTTCACTGATGCTCCTCCTACTCATAACACACATAAACTAATGCAAACTGTCTTCCCTTCAGGCCCCCTTTTCCCAATAACTTTCTTTCTACAATACCCAAATTGCTAACTTTACTCCTAATTCTTTCATTCCTTGAAAGAAAATGTACAACATTCAGAAGTCAGTTGTGCTGTCAACTCTCAAGTATTGTATTATGTTTCTTCATTATAAGGCAGCCATAACAAGTGTTGAGCCATAACAAGTGTACATCTCACACAATCTCCTCGAGTTCTCCTTCTTCTACCATACCCATTGCCAACACAAGAAACAAGTACTCAAGCAACTGGATAGATTTCACCAATTTTCAAACAATCGTATAGAGTTTCCAAAATCTTTTCAGTTGCTTGAGTAAATTTTCTTGAGTACCTAATTACCTGGATGTCTAACGTTAATCGACGTACCTATTGCTAACTTAAAGTCCTACTTCTTTCATGTTACTAGTATGTTGAGAAATATGATACAGAATATGATTGTGCTGTCAAGTATTATTGTCTATGTTTCTTCGTTACAAGGCAGCCATAACAAGTGTAAAGTTAATCTGCAACGTAGTACAACACCTGAGCCCTACATGGCCATGGCCAAGAACTGAGAGACTAAGAAGACTGGAGTCAGTTGAGGGAGGGGTTCAGTAAGCCTGGGAAAAAAAGGTTGTGTTTCCAGTTTCCCAACCGACCCTAGAAAAACTACGGACCCTGGCTTTTTCTTTGGGTGGACACCTTCAAAGGACATAAATTTTTCAAGCTGATCGACCTTTTCTAGCTCAATGATCTGACCATGACCTGAGTGATGAAACGTGGTCCAATCCGTTTTCGAACATTGAAAGTACAAGACATAGTGTCCTCATACAAGATTTACTTTGACAAATCGTACTGTGTGAGTTGGCTCACCAGACATTGCCAGTCTAAGAAAAAAAAGATAATCCCTACCTACCTACCGACCCCAATTTTTTCAGGACTGAAACAGGAACACCAAACATTTTTTTCCTAGGCCTTACATACCTGGATTAATGATAAAGATGATGTAACAAAATGAAATAAAAACCAACACAAACCTTCAGCCTCCTCCCCATAAACGGCCTTGCTTTGGCCTCTCCCACCGCTGACTGCGCGGCTTCGGTCTCCTCGAAGAACAGGAGGCAGGCCGACCGCTGGCGATCCACCACGATGTTGTTGATGGTCCCGTGTCGAGAGTAGTGTCTTCCCAGCTGCTGCTCTGTCATGCTGTCCAACATGCCACACAGCCACACCACATTACAGGGCATGCTCTTCCCAAAACCAAGCTGCAAAAAAACACAACAACCACATCAGTACCTCTATGACAAAACTACTGCAGCAGTATAACTTTCACAACCACACCACACAGCCACACCACATTACACTATTTTTACAGGGCATGCTCTTCCCGAAACCAAGCTGGAACAACGCAAAACAAAAAACAATTTCAGTACAGCAATAACAACCACATCAGAATAGCAACATCTCTGGCTGACACAACCACACCACACAGCCACACCACGTTACAGGGCACACTCTTCCCAAACCACATCTAACCGTGTAATTTCTACCTGCCAACATTCAATTGCAGCCTATATAACTCCAATATTTTACCACTTACCAGTCTGAAGAAACTATTACTAAAGATACCTTGTTACATCATATAAAACCCATTTCTGTTACATTGCATGAAAATCTGTGAAGCTATAAAAGAATAAAACGAGTTACGACACACCCCACTGTACTGTGTCCTCAAATCCTTCCACAATCCACTAAAATCTGCTTCAGAATCAGAGCAAGAATATGGTTACGACGCCAATCAGTTGGCCCAGCTTCAATACAATATTATTATCAACATAAAAAAAAACAACTACATGTACCACAGTCACGACGCATTCAGTCACGCACTTTCCAAGAAACAGACTGTGCAGAATTCTAGGTCAATATTACAGAGTCTCCCCTACATACACAGCAGCAGTGTGGCCTATGGAAATGAGCCTTCGCGGGAAGGTTAAGTCAATACGCTGATCAATACAGATGCGTCGTAAGCGTATCCGAACTACGCAGCAGCTGGAACATACAATACGACCAATCAGATCAATAGGACATCATTATGCGAGTCATATCTTACCACCAACTGATGGTTAACACTGTATCCAATCACTACATCAATGCTTCAAAAACAGACCACTGAAAAAAAACCTCTATCATTCCTCCCTTCACAAACTGACCTTCAAACCTACAGAGCTTACGAAGAGAAGAATAACAAATCTGGCACTACCTGCTAAAATTTGATGACTCGATCTCCATGATTACATCTAACAATACACGTACTAATGAACTAATAACAAACACTGTTACCACGGGCAATCTACAGCAAGAAGAATTTGATACAATGCACCTTGAAAACAAATTCAATGCAAGATTGAAGCCAGATTTCTTTTCTGCCAGATATACACAGCATCAGTAAATCTTCTGACAGCAGGCCAAGCCAATATTCACGGCAGTAGGCTACGGCTCAGGGGTGGTTTCAGAGCTACCAGTCCTCTCCAAAAAGGAACTGTTTCTTTTCTCTGTCTTTTCTTTTTTTTCTCTCTAATTCTCCTCTGGACTTAATCAAGAAGAGGTAGAGGTTTATAAGTTGAAATATTGATGTTTACGTTGTAGTGATTCATACAATAATCTTTATATTGTTAAATTTAACGTCTTTATCTACCGGTACATGTTCACTATGGACAAGCTACATAGGCTAGTTCTGAACTATATTTCTTCACATCTGGCCCTGGATTTCATTATTCATACAATAATCTTTACGTTGTTAAAGTTAATATCCTTATCTATTATATATGGACAAGCTACATGGCCTACATTTGAAGCTCTGAACTATACTTCTTCACATCTGGCCCCTGATTTTGTTGAGATCCAGCAAATTATGGTTCGTCAACAGCTGGCTCATATAGATTTCTCTACATGAAAGTAACGATGATTAAATCTATGAAAATGCTGTACCCTTTCCCTTTCAATTTTTTGGTATGTTTACGTACGGTCCCTCAAACAACGGCTCTCCCCTTTAATCCTATGTGTTTTAATAGCTCGGGTTCCTGGTACCTGAGAGCTTATTACTGGGAATAGAAAGCCGACATGTAAGCCTGGCTCTCTGAGCTGTGCGTGACACGCATAACAATTAGGCAGGGTTCGAAATACTGGGTGCATGTGCACCTTAGTGCACCCAAAATTGGAGCTGTGCACCCAATTTTTTTGCACCCGAATATTCTTGTAGGTATTTTTTTACATATCAAATGTATAATAGTATACAGGATATTCTTGGCATCTGAGTGTCAGAAAAATAATTAAAATCTTTCTTGTAGCTCCCATTTTGGATTCAAGCTCAGAAGAGAAACAGTAAGATCTCTAATTCTGTTTTGTTTTATATGGTGCAACCAAAAAATTTTTTTGTGAACCTAATTTTTTAGGTTAGATGCACCAGTGCACCTATTCCTAAAAATGAATTTCGAGCCCTGAATAAGGCAACGTGCAAAACAGACATAAACAGTATGGTCTGTGCCACGAATAATCTATTTTTCATACGGACGTGTCTTAACAAGAATTAGTACGCTGGGGGAGACCTTTAATTATATGCCACAAAGCACGACCCTAAAGACTGACATTAATAACTGATGGATGCTGCATCGGAGAGCTCATAAATAATGCACAGCTAATGAAAAGGGCAGGGATCAGAGGAAACCGTGGATCTCATCTAACAAGCTAGATTAATACATGTACATGCTTCTGTCTTCTTCCTTAGAATCAAATTTAAAGAAAAAGAAAACCCAGAGTTTATGATATACATTTGTACCATGTCATCCATACCTTTAGTTATAAAGTACTTTTCCTGAGAAATTCCCTGTCCATTTTGCACAGGGAATTTAATGAATGAAAACAAATTGTGACTTGTTGAATTGTGCCTATACTGTGACTGTTTTGTACATGTAAATGTTTGTAACATTATTTGTATATTGTTGTGTTCAACCTGTGTAATTTTTTATGAATGTAATTTTTAATGTGTGCCCAGGGATACCTGAAATCAGATCAGTGGATCTGAGGTATTCTCTGGTAAAATAACTAATTTTAATACTTGAAATTTGAATGTCTGTGACCAACCATTTTTGTCATCAACAGTTTCAGGCACATTTTTGTACATTGTACCTTCAAAATCATCATCAGATTTTCTACCTTGAGTCTACTTTTCCCGAGAAATTCTCCGTCCATTTTGCGCATCACAAATGTGCATTGAGACATTTTATTTTTAAAAACATCATGTCTACCTTGAGCCTACTTTTCCCGAGAAATTCCCCGTCCATTTTGCGCATGGCCTTGACGACACTGGTGATGTCCATGTACTGGAGGAAGGCGTAGGTGGAGTTTCCGCTGGGCTGCTTCTTGATGTCGATATCCTGTTGGGAACCAGAGTGGAGCAGGGTTGAGTGGGTCTGAATGGTCGAGCGCGATCGATCGAAGCGAAATGTGGTCAAGGCGATCGCGTGTTGTTGAGGAGGCAGGATCAGAGATGCAGGAAGCACATGAAATGAAATATAAAAAGAGCGGAGATGAGAAAACTGTGGAAGGAAAAAAGAAACATGAAGCATCGTATTAAACAATGCTGACCGCATGAAGAGATAGATCACTTTCAAATCTTCACAATCCTCCAATCAAAATCTTCGAATCAGCTGAATTAGCCAATGGGAAACCTTCCTTCTTTACATACTTCTGTTAAAATTTTAACCATGTCAAAGTTTGCTTGAAAATCCTAAGCTTTCTGAGACCTGAGCTAAAATTTTGTTGAAATTCAATATTCACAATATTTTCAAAATCTGTCAAGGATGCTACCAAGTGATTCTACAAAGGATGCATGTTTAATAATATACATGATACTTGCAGTATGAATATCAAAACCAATAAATATCTCCAAAACAGCAAACACACACAAAAACTAAACTAAACTAAACTTTAAGAAACAAGAAAAAAAAACCAATATAATCTAAAACAATCGTTAAAAAAGTGCATCATGAGCAACATTACTAGATCAATATTTCCTCATCGTAGTTACGCTATAGTCTGCCGACCTTCAAAGGTCAAACTGCCTTCTGTGCTTGTCAGATTGTTTTATCTCATGGGCCCAAACAATTCAATCCTGTAGTTCTTAGCAATGTACCGAATAATGTGGCTTTGTGAGCATATGTTTCTCTTAGATTTCAAGGTGGACATGTAGTCAGAGCCTATATGTCTAGTTATTCTTTGTCCCATCTTTTGAGTGTCTGGCTGGGCTACCAATATAGCTTTGGCATCTGCACCTACACATGTGTCAAAACATCTGAGACAATTTATTCTCTTGCTTGAGAAAAGAGTTTTTTTCATGTGGATCTTTCAATTTAGTGTGATATTTTAGGTCCAACAACCAAAAAGTCAAATGATACCAGGGCAGGTAGCAATGAAAATTACCTGCACCAGACAAATTTCACCTGTGACTCTCAGAATTTCAGGAAGTATGGATCATACATGTATCTGTGCAGGTAGACATTAGAAGTACCTGCACGGCACCAATTTACAAGCACTTGCATATTCATGTGGTATTTTGAGCTCTGAATAGGTATAGCCCATGTTGCAACTTAACAAGGCAAAACTGCTCTGTTCCTTTTTCTAAATGATCCGAGAATCGACTAATAGGTTTTATCTGGCCACCTTTCAACTTCCAAATCATCCAGACCCTCCCTTGGGACTTAACAAATGATGATACGACTCATCAAAATTTCTCCCCAGAAATATCAATCCTGATTGCGTCCACAGGGAATTATATATGCCCCTATCCAATCTATCATAGGAACATCTGCAATGACAGGTTAGGCCTAGGGAAAAAATGTTGTGTTTCCTATTTCCTGACCGACCCTAGAAAAACCTGCCGACCCTAGACTATTTTTGGGGATGGACCCCTGCAAGGGACATAAATTTTTTGAGCTGATCAACCTTTTCTAGCTCCATGATCTGACACCTGAGTGAGGAAATGTCGTACAATTTTTTGTCAGTTTTCCTACATTGATATTGACAAAATAGGTGTCCTCATGCAAGTTTTACATTGTTAAACTGTATCATATAAGTTGGATCACTATAGCTAGCTAGATATAGAAAGAGGTTGCCAAGGTCTAAGAAAAAAATGAAAGAAACACAAAAGATAATTCCTACCTACCGACCCTAATTTTCCAGGACTGAAACAGGAAACACAACATTTTTTTTCCTCAGCCTAGGTCCTGAACCAATCTATCACAGGAACATCCGCAATGACAGGTTTGTGTCTAACTACCATGCTATGACCTGATCAAATTATGCTGCCTCAATGCAATGGTATAATGACTGCTACAAACTGTACACAGTATATACACGTATCATGCAACTGCAACAAAATGCTTCACAGCACAATGATTGTAATTAGGAAAGCGGGGAAACGAATTGCTTCATTAGGATTAAAGGGCAATGGAAAATGAGGTTCTTTCAAATCAACGCACGCTAAAAATGCTGATGCTTTGGTAGCCTAGGTTACCAAATCATCAATTTAATTTGTTGGTTTACAGATTTTTTTTAGAAAAATAATGGAGCGGGCGGGCGAAAAGAAATAAAAAATAAAAACAGGTCTAGGCATCCTATTATGGCCTAAAATGGTACGATAGGAGCCATGAAGTCAACACACCAGGCTAGTTCAAAATCTAAACAATGAATTTTGAACTTTTAATGATACCATTTCATTGAAAGATGGAATAACTGTAACAACTAGGAAGAAAAGGACTGTTTTCAACTGTTCAGGGCAAAATATGAGCATTTTGCAGTTGATTCTGAATTTTTTTTTTTTTGATATCAGAAAAAAATGAAGCGGGCGAATCCATTAACCAAGAAATTTTATTGCCGTAGCTGAATGTACATTTTTTGGTTGTGTGAAGAGAACCTTATAATCCAAGGGAATGGATTATGGTAACAAACAGCAGAAAGAAAAGAAAAAGTGCAGCGAAAACACAAAGTGAAATCACAGGAACAACACATAATAGCAAAAACGTGAAGCAAATGCACATCAATAAACAAACAACAAAGGCAAGGGTGCAATACGTCAGCATACCATTTACATATCTGTTAGGATTTTGGCCAAGGTTTTCATGCACTTTGTCAGTTTGGTTCCAGACTTTATTATTATAAACTAAAAAACAACTAGCTGGCTGTATTATGTTATTAGCAGAAGGTATTCTCTAAAAAAGCTGAATTTTATGGACGTGCTTTATATTATAGTTTATTACAGTCTCTACAATGTATTACTTACCACCTTACACCTTTTATCACTGAAACATAATTTATTTTTATCTGCGAGGTTAATCTAGTGTACGTACCACAATGTCCCCAAACTTCTCAAAAGCACTGCGGATGTCTGAGTAGGAGGTGGATTTCTCCAGGTTTCCGATGAACAGCGTGCGCGTCGCTTTCGGATGGTACTCATCGAAAAGCTCCTCTTTTGGTCTCAAGTCCCCTTCTCGCTCTTCTTCTGTAGGAGTTGTTGGGGGG